CCCTCAAAATCTGTGAACACAGCGTACAAAACACAAGAACAAATATTCTGAATTCTAGTTTCATGGTTTTAGTATCTATTTCGGTTACTGACGCAGTTTAACGACAGATAAAGGTGGTCAAATAGGTCAAATAGGTCACACAAGGACTATTAGGCTTTAGCCTGCATCTGAATGCAGCCTTCGAGAGTTTGATACTTGAGAATTGGATGAATTTGCGTAAAAGTTGTAATACTGCAAGATAAAATACTGCATTACAAGTCAAAGTCCTGCTTGTTGGTACGGAGTTTCTAAGCGGCTTGTTCAAATTAAAGTTTGGCTGCGCCCCTATCTCCTTATAATGAGGAAGAGGCTGTAAAGAGGTCGCTGTGTTGTTTGTTAGTTATTGATTGGTTTTATGGATTATTCACAGGTGTTCCAGGCGTTGGTCAGGAAACGCTTTTTGTGACAGAAACACCTGAAGCTAACGAGAAAAGTCCTGACGGCTCAGACTTGGGTTTATAACGGTACTGAAGGCTTAAAGGTTCAGTGTGGAATTTTTTTTATGAGATCTATTGACAGAAATGCAATATAATAACGACGTTTTCAGTGGTGTGTAAAGACCTTACATAACGAACCGTTTTTATTACCTTAGAATAAGCATTTCTACTACAGACACCGCGGGTCCTCTTACGGGACGTCACCATGTTGCGCCGCCATGTTTCTACAGTAACCCAAACGGACAAACCGCTACACAGAGCGCGTTTCGTCGCTACATTATATCTGCTCTGATAATGATAATCCAACACATCTTTGTAGTAGCGTCCATGTTGATTCCACATTCAGACTTAAGAGCACATGAACACACAGTGAAGTCGGAAGAACGACTTCACAACTCGGGAAGTGGGACCTATACGAGGAGGGTACTACTGGTGAGGGTTGTGAATTGCAACCAGCGTGCATTCACTTGCTCCTCGGATGATCCCATTTACCAAGTTGTGAAGTTGTTCTTCCGACTTAGTATTATCCAAGCACATAAACAACACGCAGACATCTAGTTCACTCTACATGGCAAATAAACGCAATACTACAAATTACAATTACATGTTTGCAAAATATGCAATATGTGATTTTGTACGAATCAAAGTTCTGTATACTTCTTTATGTCCCATGTAGACTTTATTTATATTTTTTCAATGAAGATTTAAGGAGGGAAATATTCTGATTATATTCTGACGCCACATGAATGCACCATCAGTCACCGCTCACCCCTCCAATTGCAAGCGAGCAGGAGAAGCTACGATGGCCGACACGCTCTTTCGGCTCTGAGCTAAATAATACGTGTGCTCCTGACTTTGTCCAAATTTCACTTCTCTTCTTGCTTCTAATAAACCAGACAACTACTACCCTACTACTACTACTAACGCTAACGTTAGCTGCTGTTGTTCTTCTTTGTACAAATTCAATGTAGATAGAAATGTCTCATTCTAAGGTAATAAAAACATAATGGTTCATTATACTGCAAGTACAACATGGAGGAAGTAGGACAGCTTTTGGGACTGAAGGGTTAAGAGGAAAAACAACTAAAAGTTACCGATGTTAATTCAGGGTTAGGGGGTTTTGTGATTTGAGTGTTGCAGTCTTACCCTGAAGGCCACCGTCCCGGCTGGATCGGCTTGAAGTCTGGACCTGAGCGCCTGCTGCTGAGCCTCTGTGGGCTTCAGCCCGAGCAGATCCAGAGCCTGCACACACACAGATCAATAATCAGCTCACAGTGGTGACGCCCTGAATGTATTCTGTCACTATCCAAATAAAACCCTGTATCTCCGCTTTAAGCTCCAGATGGAGATGAAATGTTTCATGAGCCTCAGCGTACAGAGAACATCCTCAGGAGCGACTGATCTGACAACGTGCGAGTTACTGGACTTGAAGATATGTGATTTGCAGCAGACAAGGTCTGTGGACTGAGGTATTGTTAAGATGTTAAACTTTATTGTCCAGATTAAATAAACATTTAATGTGTGCTGATTAATAGCTAAAAAGCCAATTTAACATTAAAATTAAACCTAAAACACAATAAAGAATTCAAACAGTTTGTTACTTTCGTTAACGCAGCATTTGGACTGTAGCTGCAGCTAATCATTATTTTCAGTACTGACTTAGTATTGAAAAATAAGTTACCTCAACTATTAAATATCAACATTGTTTTTTAATTTATTTTCTGTAAATCAACCAATTGATTAATTGACCGTGTCAACACTAATGAGTTCTCCAGGATCATGTTTCAGTGTTTCAGAGGACTGAAAGCTATAATTTAACAATAAATGAGCGATAACAAAAACCCCACCTGCTCCACCCTCTCCAGTCTGAGGCGGCTGGTGCTGAGGGAGCATCTCCTCTGAGGAGGCTGGCTGCTGACGGCCTCTGCAGACGGAGACACAGCCACACTTTCAAGAGTACGCTCATCTAACATTGTCGGACCGTGTACAAACAGAACAACATGACTGCAGACCATCAACTGGTTTTCACAGCACTGCACACATAACAGCAACAACATACAGTGATAGTTCACACTCAGACCAGTTCATTTTCAGTCTTTTTTTTGCTGTTAATGTGCTCTAAAAGTAAAAACAAGTTGGCCACTGCAGAGAATATTTCAACCTTTCAAGGGAAACTGGAGCAGTGATGATTAATCTTGGCAATATCTGACAAGGCCAATGAACTGTCTGCAGGCAGCCTTATCAGTGAGCTGCTGGTGAAGGATGTTAGCGCTACCTATTATGAGTTTTGGGAAGGTAGTGAAAAAGAGATTTGGAGCCCTAAACATCCTCAGTTACGTCATCTTCCTAAACGTTAACATCTTGAATGACAGCAGCTCTAAACTAACAGCAGTACTGGCTGGAGTTAGAAATATATAGTTATACTGAATAGAGAGCTGGAAAGTAACAAATTATTAAATAAATTAATTGAGTAGTTGTTTGTAAGTATTTTTTAATCTGTAATTTTACTTTTACTTAAGTATGTTGTTGTAAGTATTGTACTTTGCTACATTTTCAATCACATCCGTTACTGAGTCAAACAAAAAACTCGCGACCACTTTGACTTCAAGTGCAAAACCAACAGCTTTATCATGATGCAGTGTGTGAAAAAATGTGCTAAAATGCTGTATTAGTGTTCGTGCTAATGAAAACTGAACATTTCCTGCTGCTGCAGCATCACATTAAAAGCATTTAACTGGCGAAACCACATTTACTTTATTTTGAAGTAGTCACAGGAAATGCAATCTGTGTGTGTGAGATCAGCGCTGACAGCTCTTATTCATCAAAATGCGGCTACAACAAGACAAACGTCATTTTCAACAGTTTTCTGACAGCGGAAATGTTGAAATGTTGCAGTGAGTAATGCACAGTCCAGCAGCAGACACAGCGAGCTGTTAGATAAAGAGGGGTTAAGTGTCTTGCTCAGGGACACATGGTGGATGTGTCACAGTGGGGAATTGAACCCGGGTCTCACACCAAAGGCATGTATCTTCCTCCTGTACCTCATGTTGTCTGCAGCGAAAAGTCAGATCATGACTGCTGACATAATTATGGAGAATACCAGTAACTGCCCTGGGCATTAAAATGCATCTGCTGTTACCATAGTAACTACAGGTATCTCATGCACAATAACGGCGCAGCTGCATAATAGCATCAAACTGGTTGATTTGTAAATCATGCCACATCAGAGTTACATTTACAATAACTATCACTCCTCAGTGAACTCGGCTGCAGGTCTTGTAGTTAAGTAGGCCTGTCTAGATTTTATCATTATGGATTTAGGCCTACCATGTTTTTAAGGACTCTCTTCACACTGATATAAGCTAATAAAAATTACTTTTTGCAAAAGTTGAAAACATTAAACATAGGCAAATTTTTTATATATTTATATTTCTATTTATTATGTACTGTATTCATACCGGGCAACTTCCTCATATGTGAAAATGTACCTGTGAAAATAAACCCGATTCTGATTCTGCTTACAACAAATGTAGTTGAGGACCCCTGAGTAGAGGTCAGTGAAATAATAGCCAACTTCCATTGGTGGTTAAAATAAGTTTTCATTGGCCAAAGAGACATCGGTGCATGACAATGTTGGTTGGCATTAGCAACGCTATACTATACTAACGCTTGTGACATTAAATTACCACCTTTTTAATGTAAATAAGGACATGACTTCATTTACAGTCCAGTGCGGCCCGCCACAGTCTAATCTGTTTCACCGGTTTCTTAATGTAGCGAAACATTCTCAAACTTCTCATTGTAACATTAAATGTCACTGTTTTTATCTGTCAACAAACTGAAATTGAAAGCGCCACATGGCTTTATTCCCTTATCAAATCACAAAAGAGTGCAATTTAATTAAATAAGCTTATCCTGTGTAAATAAGCTTATCCTGTGTACAGGGTCACGGGTAAATAAGATATTAAATCAATATAAATAAGTTATTTTAGTGTTAAAAAGCGTTTACTCTGAGTAAATTTTAAATGAGCTACTTTTTACTTTTACTTGAGTAGATTTTTAAACAGGTAACTTTACTTGTCTTTAAGTAAAATTTCATCAATGTAATCGTAGTTTTACTTATTTTTTAATATTTTTATACTCTTTCCACCTCTGACTGTAGAGAATAATGCAGCTGAATGACATCTGACAAACTGAATCCTGCTCTCCTTTAAACAGCAGCCACGCTCTGAAATCTACAGCAGAACCCAAAGAATGTTTCTGTTTCATTCATTAATAAAGCTTCCATCTGAAACATGTTACTGGCTGAGACAACATGTAGATTAGATTATATTCTGCAGGAATAATGATTTATACATGATGAATGTCCACGTTTTCACATCACCTTGCAGGGCAGGACTGTTTTTTACACCAGCCACACTTCACATGCAGATATATTCCACGTGTAGACGTGTGCAGAAATGTGGAGGAAGGAGTGTAAATGGGATGTGGTTCAGACGCCTCCGTTATTTTCACCTTCACCGTGTTAAAGCTGAGCCAGTGCAGGTTAACACCTGTGCGTTAAGTGTCAACTGAAGGGTGGGGCAGATATTTAACGGCAAGAAATCTTCCAAACACTGTCTGGAGTCACAGGTAGTGCAGCTTGTGTCCTCCGTCCTGTGTGACTGATGAATTCAAGCATGTATTTCCTGTTTAGGTGAGAGCTGAGGTCAGAGAGTTCACCTGTGTTTATATTTGCCCCACAAAATCACACAAATGGCCAATAAAAGTGAAGCACAGAGCTTGGAAATGGAGACGCCACTAACCATCGCCTTGTTTGGTGGCTTTTAGGACCAGATATTACCGTCAGTTTCACTGAATGTTCTAATATTCAGCCACATTATCTAAATTAGTTGTAATTACTTGTACAAGGTTAAACTCTTTTAAGCAAGTTAAGCTAACCCAAAATGTTAATCTGTCATTGCACTGAAACACAACCTCATTACGTACCATTGCTCCAAGTTGAGCCAGGAGGCCGCTACTCTTTCCGAAATACTTTATTCTTTGGATTTGTTTGTTTTGTGTGTTCTATTGTCTGACAGTTTTGTGTCCTAAAGGACTTATTGAATAATGATCAATCCCTTTGTTATTTTTATAATAACTGATAAAGAATCAACAGAAAGGGACACAAAACGACCACAAAGCGATGTCCGTCTGGTGGTAGACATTTCTCAATGATTCCCATTTAAACACTAAAATCCACTGCTTAAAAAGATTCCTCAAACCGGTTTTACGACTTTACTGTTGGAGGTTCCCTTTATTACTAAACGCCCTGAACAACCGCCGTCATTTTGGTCTTTGGGTGTGATGTCAGACGGCGAACACAGCGACGTGCATATGGAGAAAGCTCTCAGCGTCCCTCACACACACAGAGACGGGACGATGCTTCCCACTCCTAAGCCAATCGTAGGCCAGACCTCCCGCCCGCTCACTTCCTCCTCCAACAGGCAGCAAACCGCACGCCATCTGTCCCTCTCGCTGCCTCCTCTCCCTGTCCTTTTATTCACACCTCCCAGCATACAGCAGCTCCTCTGCGCACACGCTCTGCAGTTATTGCTGATACAGAAGCAGATATGAATAGATGTATAGTTCCTGTGTCATGACCTCTGGCCTCTGATTGGCTGACGGCCCTTAAGACTGCAGATATGAGGAGCTTTTTTACTACAGAACTTGATGGCGCTTCTTTAGGTCGTCAGCAGGTAACTGAGAGCACAAACGATGTTGCAGGTGGTGAAGCTGTAGGGTTTCAGGCCAGATAAACCCACAGTGGTGATTTCTGCGACGGTATAACCGCAGCGACTGAAGAACCAGCTGTTTGCCTCCATCAGCCAATCAGCTCGTGTTCTCACAGCGGCAGCACTACGTTTGATTAGTTATTAGAGAATTACAGAAACATACCAGGGTGTGTTTCAGGGATGCTGTCGCTCTCTGCTGGGGAGACCTGAGTCGGCTCGGTTCTGGCCGGAGACACTCGCACCTGCAAACATTAACACACATATTAATATTGGTTTGATAAGAGTGCGTTCATGTGTGTCACAACCTCATCTCAGTGCAGAGAGATGCTGATCGACTCACTGATATTCCTGCTCTTCACCCCTCTGCTTTTCCCTACAGGTTCCAAGTGACTAATCAAAAAAAAATTCTGATGAAATCTTAAAGGAGACCTATTATGCTTTTCCACATTCGATGACTTATCTACAGTGTTATAATGTTGGATGTTCATGTTAAACATGGCCAAAGCTTCAAATAATGAGGCTTAAGCATTTATAAGAAATCCCTGTGAGCAGAAACCTCAGATTTCCTCCTGTTCTGAACGCTTTCAACGTTTTCAACAGCTTTTTCAACCATCGGCTCCGTAATACGACACACGGAGCCAGACGGAGCCGCTGTTCCTTATATGGTCATTTGCTCTGCACAGCAACGCTCAGTCTGTCTGTACCACTCAGCAACAGCCTGGTAACATTCTTCAGGTCTTGGTCAATCAGAAGACAGTTGGCTTTGAGAGGGGGGCCTTAAAGAGACAGGAGCATCTACAGCTTGTTTCAGACAGAGGCTGAAATGAAGGCCTACATGAAGAGCCAGTATAAGAAAGAAACTTACTTTTCTGAACTTTGAATCATGCAAAGCTGCTATACAGAACTACAATGTAGGAGTGGTAAGTCCATTTGGTTTTAAGCCTGTTTGTCATTAGCCAGAATTAGCATCCCAGCTAATATCACGGTTAATGTGAATTACAGATGCGCATTGCTAGCCAAGCTAGCCAGCCCCAACATCTCATCCAAATATGGTCACATCTTGTTCCAAAAAACCAAGATGGCAACGGCCAAACTACCAAACTCTTTTACACAGGTAATGGTTTTAAAGAAAACAAGAGTGATGAAAATAATTTGGCTTTGAAAAGCAGTAAATCTTGACTTGTAATGTCTCAAATTAATCATATTTGGTTTAAACAAAGTTCATTCCAGACAAAACCAGTTCAGTCTCCCTCCTCGTGTGGACCTCAGGTCTGTACTGAAGCTCATACCTGACTGACGTTGACTGCTGGCAGAGTCTCACAGGCAGGGTTCCGGCTGGAGGTGATCTTGGTGACCACGGTGGGCTGAGGAGGCATTGCGCCCAGCCCCGGGGGCCTCATCTGGGGTCCAGTTCCGCCGCCAGACCCCTGGAGGGAGATGGGGCTGTGAGGCCCGCTGCTGGAGCTGGAGGATGATCTCCGCCTGATGAAGGCAATTTCCACCGTAGGGTCGGGTCTACAACACACAGGGCTGTTTTCAGATTTTTGGAATATGCAGCATTTATAAACATTTTAACTTCCATATTTACTGTAACATCTTCTTAGACAACGAGAGCATTGGCAGCTTCTGTAAGACTGAATTTCCCATGAACCCTCTGTGAAGGTTCTCAGTCACCCAGGTCATGGATATCCAAGGAAGGTTCACCGACCACAAAAACTGTTCTTAATACAGCCAGGAGCACTAACGAAGCAGCGATCATCTTGATGACGACCCCGCAGGGGTTAAATGGCTGAGTTTCCCAACCAGCCAGTCAGAACTGAGAAGAAGTCTCTCGAACGAGAGACGAAGTGTCTCAGAGTTTTCAACCAAGTCCAGCTACCCTTCAATTAATCTTCCTTGGATTCCCATGAACCCTGGGAACTAACCTATTACGTATTAGATACTGAATGAGCAATGTATATTTCTCACTCACTCTAAACTAATTACTTCTGAACCTATAAAATATAAACATCCATAACCATCCACATACACGGTATGAGGCCTCTTTCTAAATAAGGTTTTTGACTTTACACACAATCTTGATCACGCATTTATAAATAGCTATTCAATCAATCAATCAAGTTTTATTTAAAGAGCAAAATTTCCAAAAGACATGGTCCTAATAAACTTTAAAAAATAAATTGAAAAGAAAAAATAAGCCGTAAAATACAGAATGCATGTGATTTAACATAACATAAAATCAACAAACTAAAATAATAAACCTATTTAATAACTTAAAATTAGCTCAACCCTGCCCTAAGTAAAAGTTTTATCAAACAGAAAATTCTTATGTCTGGCCTTAAAAGTGATTCCATAGTAAAGGCGCTTGATAACTAAATGCTATTGTCACATTTATTCCAGCAGCATCTTATTTTCAAGCCAAACTCCTCTGTTCGTGTTTCTTTTGTGTCTTGAATAATGTATTAACCCCTTAGAGAAAGTCTCCAGGTGTGCCGGACCTGAGCTTGGTGCGTGTCAGGATGCTCCTGGCCTCCTCGTACGTCACTCCGATCAGGGACTCTTTGTTGATGGACACCAGCTGGTCCCCAACCTGCAGCCTGCCGTCCTGAAACAGCACAAACACACAGAGACGTTCAGGTCCTGGTGCTCGAGGTGCCAGCGGAGGTACTGGGACTAAGAAAAACTGGGTTTTTTGTGACTTTTGGGTTCAATCTTTTGTGTTTCTTAGAGCACAACATTTGGCTTTTTTAGTAAAAAAGTAGAACCCTTGTACAAAGGTTTGATTTTGACTGAGCCCACATGGAACACCAGCAATCTAAGGTTGATGAAATGACCTTTTTGAGACCAACAAGGCAGGAAAACCCAGAGTTTTGATGCGTTTGGCTTCAGGCTGGACAGACTAGAGAGTAGGCTAGGCGGTGTGACATATATACTGCGTAGACACGATGGGAGCTGACTGTCTCCCCTACCATTGCCTTAACAGGACCCCCCCATCCCCACCCACAGAAAAAAAGAAATTAAATTATTATTATTTACCTTATTTATGTGCTCTCATTTGATTTAAGCTCAGCTTTTGATTGAATCACACAATTTTGCTCTGCAGACAGAGCTGTTGTCTTAAAGGAGAGATTTAAAGTTAATTCATGACCTTGTTACCAGAAGTTTAACCTCACCACAAGGTCCATGGACGTTTTCACGCAAGCTAACATGCACAAGAGATCTGCTCAGAAATATGAGAATTTGAAACTACAAGTTCAGTTTTTTGGTGTAAATGTGAGTGTGAGTGGGTGTTTGTCTATGTGTGGCCCTGCGATGGACTGGCGACCTGTCCAGGGTGGACCCCGCCTTTCGCCCGATGTCGGCTGGGATTGGCTCCAGCCCCCCGCGACCCTGTACGCAGGATAAGCGGTCGACGATGGATGGATGGAGTTCAGCTTTTTTATGTAGTGTTGTAGTTCTCGAGACCGGTCTTAAGACCACTTTTTGATGGTCTTGGACTCATCTCGGACACTGAGGACTCGGGATTTTATTTCAAGACCAGTCAGACCGTAACTTTGGGAATATCAAGAAATTGCTTTTGCATTGTCTGTTTTATTTGTTAACATCCTAAATTTGATTGGATGTAAAACGTGTTGCTTCAAATCCAACCAATAACCCTAATTAAAAATGTGTTGTTCCACATTTTATTGTGTGTCATGTAATGTGGGGAACTGGTTTTGGTCTTGACTCAGTCTCAGCCCCTAAAAGTCTGTCTTGTCTGGTCTGGATAAACTCTGGTCTTGGTCTTGACTTGGTCTCGGTTTGGTCTTGACTACAACACTAGTTTCATGAACCTGTTCTTATTGTCAGACATGCATTTACATGTTACGCTGCAAAAACCAAATTAGGAATAAGCTCAAATTGCGTTTATATTTTTAATATTGTTTTAATATAGGAACAGCCTCTGATCATCGGGAGGCCAATTCGGACTCCGCCCAGTTGGAGTTTGGCCAAACATTAGCTGCTGTTTCCAAGGTCAAGAATTAACTTTCAATAAAGTTAAAGTTCTGACACAAAAACAATGTTACGATTAAGTCTGCAATGATGTTGCTTTTGCTGGATTTGTTTATCTTTTAATTAATAAATTGATAAAGGTTGGGATGTGTACGTCGCACAATCCAAATGATTACAACACTTCTTTTTATTACAGCGCTCAGCTAGGACGCCGACCTTCTGGCAGTCTCCTCCAGGCACTATTTCCTGAATCAACACCATTGGTCCTTCTGCACGGTTAGCTCCGCCCTTGATGACCAGCCCCAGGCCTGTTCCCTTGGCCACGCATATCAACTGAATGACGCTGTCACTGGGGAGAGAGAGGTGGGAGAGAGAGAGGATGACACTAAGCATGATTAAAAACCACAAAGCTATGCTGCCGCTCACATTCAATCCCACCATGACATAATCTCTAACCCTCCTCCTCTTCCTCTCTCTAGCTCTCTCTCTGGTCCTCCTACACTTCTCTGTGAAATTGCTGAAGATGCTTTTCACTATTTTTAGCTGTTGCTGGTGTTTCCATGCTGCAGAAATACAATTTAACAGTTTTATGTAACAACCTTCTGAAAAGACCTTCAGAGAGCAGCTCTTTGTTTACTTCCTGTAGCTGCAGAGGGTTATAAGCGTTCGCAGCAGTAAATCATAACTCATTTATATGTTCCCAGTTTTCATTTTAAGGTGCCTCGTTTTTGCAGGAACATTCTGCACTCCTTTTTTGTAGGGTTGAATAGTTAAATAAAAGCTTTTAATATGTACCGATTATATATTATATTATACAGGATCATTTGTTCTTCAGAGCTGCAGCACAATTTGGGATCTTGCCTTTCCTGAGAGGATAAATGAGGTCTGCTTTGATGCAGGAGTCTAAAAACTTTAATAGTATTTTATTATCATTAAATAAAGATACACTGCCGGTCAAAGGTTTTAGAACGACTTTTCTAGTTTGTATGTAAATCTATGTAGTTCAAGTCCAGTGAAAAACCTTAATTGGTACAAAAGTAAGCAGCAAACTGCCAAAGTTAAAAACACTTACATCACAAAAACAGACATTTTCAGATCTAAAATGAACAATTAAATGAAGGAGTTTTGTTCATTATTCATTGTAGGATCAACCGATGACCAGCTGTCTGTGGGAGCTTCAATTTAAGATTTGTGTCAACTAAAAGTTTAAATAAATCTAAGCCGCAGAGCTCTGATTGCCAACGTATAACATGTAATAACAAAAGGTGGTATTTAATTACATTTGTAGGCAGCATGCTATTAATGTGGTATTTTAAGTGAAGGAAACTGTAAATGCTGTAAAGTGTATGATTCATTATGCAACTTTATTTTAAACTTCAATTATTAATCTGTCACTTAAAGACGGAAATCTAAACATTGGATATTATTGGAAAATGACTGATTTTATTATTATTAGTTTACCTAAAAATTGTATTAGTTTATTAAATGACTCTAATCAAATGTCTCAAAAGTCTCGTTCTGGTGGGATCCGACTGGCTTCCAGGTAAGAAGTTATTTCCATAAAGGCTGAAATCTGCTGCCGCCGTGTGATTCCTGCCTACCTGAAGGCGTGCGAGGACGTGTGCATGGTGTAAGGGGGGGCGTGGGTGTAGGCTGTGACCCCCTCTTTAGGACTGAGGAGCTGGGGGCTCTCTGATCTGGAAGAGGAGGAGGAGGAGGCGGTGTCCGTCAGCTTCCCTGAACAGAGATGAAAGGAAGAAGAAGAAACCAGAGAGAGAGAGAGACAGAGAAGAAAGAGGGAGAGTGGAATAGAAAGTGAGGGAGGAGGTGGAGAAAAATGAAAACACAGGTTTAATCAGATCCATATTTTAATATTTGTAATCATAAATCTTCTGCTTGAATCAAAAGGTGTTGGAGTGAGAGAGGCGGAGAAATGGATGTGTGTTTGTGTCTCATTTCTATATGTGTGGGGACAAATCTGACTTTTGAACCTTGTGAGTGAGGACATTTCCCAAAGTAAAGACATTTTCATCTGTGACACAAGAGGACATACTGTTTGGAAAGTAAAGACACTTTGAGGATGTGGGGATGTTGTACGTCACAGGAGGACAATTTTATAAAATCTGAAAATGTCTAAAAAGATCAGGACACCTCTGAGAACATTTGTGCAGCCGGCACTTCATTAGCAATCACAGAGCACGGTTTTAAAAACTTCAACTCAGAGCAGGAATGCGCCCGTTTTTCTCCCCATCGTTCATTCGGGTGACAACAGAGGAAGGCTGAACTTTCATCAACATTGTTCTTGAAACGTTCAGCTGGCTAGAAAGTAAGTAGGTCTCACATCACCTGTCAGATAAACTGAAGGCCTAAACCCAAAATGCAGCGCTGACGTTAAAACAAACCGATGCTCAGCTGCTCGGCAGGACACACGACCCCCTGTACTTAGTGGTAATGTTTGTGAATAAAAGGCCTTAGGCTGGCCACAATAAAAGGCCTTAGGCTGGCCACAATAAAAGGCCACTCCAAAATGTCCAGTTCCATTTGACAGCACAATGCCACAGATGTCGCAAGTTTTAAGGGAGCGTGCAGTTGGCATGCTGATTGCAGGAATGTCCACCAGAGCGGTTGCCCGTGAAACGCTGTTTCACAGATATTTCCTGAGCTGACTGGTGGTTGTGTGCGTGACACAGGCGCCGATTGCCACAATACACGGCTTTCTGTTGTGCATTTTTCCTGTCCATCAAAGCCCGACGATTTCACCCACCACCACCAAGTTACCCGCGAGTGGCGGCTGCTACTTTCATTTCCTGTGTGACACTAAAGTTTATGTTGTGCAAGCTTCGGTGAAGCTTAAGGCCGTTGTACAACAAGAAGGCAAGGTGCAGCGTAACATGCAAAGTTGATGCAGGCTGGTTTACTCTCGCGTGTCATGTGACTAGAGTGTAATCGCAGCCTTTGCGATTAGAAAATCATAATTTTATTACATCGCGATAATATCACAAATGTAATTAACCGTTCAGCCCTAACTGCCAAATTCTCTGAAACGCCTTTGGAGACGGCTTATGGTAGAGCAATGAACATTCAATTCACGGGCAACCGCTCTGGTGGACATTCCTGCAGTCAGAATGCCAACTGCACGCTCCCTCAAAACTTGCGATATCTGTGGCATTGTGCTGTGAGATGGAACTGCACATTTTCGAGTGGCCTTTTATTGTGGCCAGCCTAAGTCCTTTTATTGTGGCCAGCCTAAGTCCTTTTATTGTGGCCAGCCTGAGGCACACCTGTGCAATCCCCATGCTGTCTGATCAGCATCTTGATATGCCACACCTGTGAGGGGGATGGATTATATCGGCAAAGGAGAAGTGCTCACTAACACAGATTTTGGCAGATTTGTGAACAATATTTGAGAGAAATAGGCCTTATGTGTACATAGAGAAAGCCTTAGATCTTTGAGTTCAGCTCATGATGAATGGGGGCAAAAACAAAAGTGTTGCGTTTATAATTTTGTTCAGTGTATATCAAAATCCAATTTAGGTTAAAGTTAGTGAAAGTGTTTTTCTGTCACTGAGGACATTGATATAAATGTGTCTGCATGTTGTACCTGCGGAGAGCTGCGTGGGAGAGATTCGTCCTGAAGCTGCGACATTATTGGAGCCGTACTTCTCCATCAGCTCAGCAAACTCCCTCCTGAAGAACACAAACACACAAAGAAGTATTCAAATCCTTCACTTGAATAAAAGTATAGTAAAGATACTCAGTTACAAGTTCTGCATTTTAAAAAGAGTAGAGACGAAGTAGTAAACATGTTTTTTACAGTAAAAGTATTTGTTTTAAAGAAACAGCTTTTCAGAAGTGTTGAATGTGTTTGACCTGTTATAAAATCATAGCCAGAGCTCGTCAGACTGTGAAGTGATTCTGTTGGAGAGGGCAAACTACAATATGAAGGGAAACCAGCCGAATAAACAATACATACAAACTGAATGTGTAGACTGAATTAGCATCATGAAGAAAGGAAACACAAGATCTGTCTGAGGTTTCTTTCCATCATCAGCTGATCACAAACTCTCCTCCTCTTTACAATCACTTTCTTTTTTTCTTGGATAACTGTTCACTTTTACTGAACACAAGTCTGAGTGCAGAACACGTGACGGTGTGAGTTCACAGCGTGGTGTTTGTGGATGATCTGAAGCGAGCAGGCAGATCTGTGAGCGTTTGTCTCCCTCACATGGACGCAGAGGAAACCTGAGTTCCCGGATCGCTCACACCATCCCTGTCTGGTCAGGATGTTATCGGCTATTAATTTTAAACAGGACGTGCACAGAGCGAAAGCACAAAAGGTCAGGGGTAACACTGTTTTCTTGCTTAGATAGCAGCGTCTCATTTACAGTCATTCTTCAAGCACTATTTCTGAAACCAGTAACACTTGTCCTCAAATCATTTACCAAGTGTGCCAAACTCAGTGCAAATTTTTTATTTTTGTCTCTCTGCAAAACTTTAAACACAACTCACTGCTTTACACTCACTTTGCAATCCAATAACACACTTCTAAACTGTAAACATAACTATTTTTTGCTTCACCATTTTGCCAATTGACATTCCACATTGACACTTGATTATTAGTTCACATACCAATCAGAGCATGAGCACTATATGTAAACAGGCCACAGGTAAACATTTGGTTTGGGTTACAGTGGAGGCTTTAGAGGGGTGAGAATTAGAGGAGGGAGAGGAGGACACGGACGAGGAGGTGAAGAAGTAAGAGGAGGAGAGGACGAGATCAAGTAGGATGGGGTAGAAGGAAGAGGAAGGGGAGTCAGGAACATACGGCAATAACTGATGAAACATTCCACATTGTAAATAAAGTCATTGCAAATAACAGCATCACACTCAGAGAACTATAGGACGACATACAGGCAGATAACACAATGTTCCACAGCAACAGGGTCTCTCTGCATCCACACGTGTTTTTCATTTACACTATCAGTGCATAGTTACTGTTTCGTGTCCTTACAAAAAGACATTTGTCTGTACTGTAATGATGCGAAAGCTACTTGCAAGAATTTTCTTCTTTTGCAAGAGATGTATAATGTTTGGTTTTTTGGTGTAAGTGATGGTTTTGTAGTTAGAGCTTTGCAAAACTATACTATAGCTTCAAAAATGGTGCCAAAGCAGTCAGTTAAACTGTAAGGCAGTGAGAGGAAAGTTAACCATGTGGACTCTGGCACCTATTTCCAGGAAAAACGCCTAAAATAACAAACCCAAACTAAATCAGTAATATCTCCTCAACCATCAGACCTAGATACATAATTCTAGTCTCCTTTGAAAGGTCAGAAGCTAAGGAATATAAATCCATTGTACTTTAACATCTTTATTTTACCATTACAGACTACATGGAGATAAAATACCGAAGAAATATGATATTTTCATCCTCGCCTGGTAAAAAAAACCCTATATTTTAATACAATAAGTCCATCAAAACCATCATAAGGTAGATTATAATGCACCTGAATATCTTCTAATACACCTAGAACACAACTGTAACTGTAAATTTGATGAAAAGAGTTTTCTTCATAACACTATTTCTCTCCACACAACCACGTTCCAAATAACATAAAGCTTCCAAAACATTGAAATATTGATAAAAACAGTCAATATTCCTGTGACCAAAAGCACTCCCATGCTTTACAGGCCACAGCTTGAGAACAGAATCCTACAGGGCCGATAAACCCTGCCTCTGCCAAAGCAAACTGTTCTTCTCTACTTCAATCTGACGACAGAAACAAAACTTATCGGCTCATCCGACCTCACCAAGATGGCGGCTCGCCAGATGGTCTCTGTTGACGCAAAGGACCGCTGTTTTTGGATGGAAAACAGCTAGAACAGCTAGAACAGCTAGAACAGCGAACATCGATTAGCTCCCCTGTATCAGGCAAGTCCGTTACCAAGTTAACTTTGGATATAAAGTGTGGAACATTACTTTCGATTCTTCTTCTATTCTATTCTATTTCTTGTTTCTGGTAAAACAGCTGACAGGCTCTTCAACAGAAAACATGTCTGACTTTGTTGTTTAATGCAGATTGATTAGAGCTGAGTGTCATTTTCAAAATCTCTTATTTAAAGCCACAGCTGCTCAGATAGAATATGCCCACATAGAAACCGGTGTCTTCAAAAGTTCCCATTCTGCTCATCTGGATTTTTAACAAAAGGTCTATCTAGTCTTACTCATAATTTTTTTTTGTCATAGAAGAAGACTCATGCTGTGTCTAAATTTGTGCCCTTCCATGCTTCCATTTACTATTTTGTGTGTGTAAGTAAACCGGATGAAAAACAAAAGTCTGATAGATGAGAAGTCTGAGGATCGACAAAGTTATTACAATTTATCCTGAGGGGAACATGAAGGACCAGTCTTTCAGTAGTTGTTCATATATTTCAGTCTAGACTAAAGTAGTGGACTGACATCCCTGAAAACAGTCACACATGAATAGTTACATTTCACAGCTGATAAACTGAAGACGTGAAACGCGCCCTTGAAAAGGTACATATCTGTAACCTGACTGTTTGCTCCTGAATGACCCAGGAGAATTTGATTGTTCACGTCTGGACAACAGCTTAAAAATTACATAAACTTCCAGAAGTTCCGGGCTCGACCCCATTCAGCATCCTGAACTCACAAATCTCCTTCAATAAGCTTAGACTCCACGTTTGACTTTCCGTTTTTATCCAGCGAACCTGTGAGGACACCAGAAACCAAATCCCTGATGATTTCATCACGGTGTCCTCGCCGTGACCCGCCGTCCCGCTTAGTGGCAGCTGCACATAATAATCATAATTTGTTGTAAGTGTAAAAAACAAATATCAGACGTGTGGGTACAAAGCTGCAATAACACACACACACACACACACACACAGGTCTGGTTTTGTAATAATAAGGATGAAAATGAAAGGACTCCACTCTCTGCCAGAGGTGGGACGACCTTTTCTCTGCAGTCACAACAACACACTCGCTTCCTATCAAATGTTGTAAGCTGGAACTTTTTAAGCAGGTCGATCCTCAAATAACCTTCTGTTCCTCCCTGAATCAGTCCTACAGTTTCCTTCTAACGCCAAACCCATCACTCTTTGTTTTGTTTTTGTTTTTTGTTTTTATAAAAATATGTAAAAAATACACTGTATGAATTATACAGGAGAGGTAAGAAACCCCCAAGGACTTATAGTGAATCATCCCCTCTGGATTTTCATTTGATATTACACAAAATTATTATAGAAAAATAATGACAATAATGATAAACGATTAAACACAACACACATAGTGAAATTTTAACCATGACGTATGTATTTTTTCATGCTTGACTTAAATACTGACAGTGATGGACAATGGTTGGATATGAATGGACAGTTAGTTAAAAACCAGTTATGAAATACTTTTGGTAGGCTATGATTTTGAACAATAAATTTGTACATAAAGATACATGTTTGATAGATACTGATGTTGAAAATGGATAAATGATTTAATTTCTTGAGCAGAGGAGCTGATGGTTCATACCGATGTGATGCAGTTGCCTGGCTTAAAAACCTTTTTTGGATCAAAACAATTTTTTGAAGATAAGAAGGATAATTATTGCCCCAAACAATGTTACAGTGTGATATATGGATGCAATAAACTATAATAAAGAGTTAAAAGACAGGACTGATTTACCAGTGAACAAGCTTTAAGACTGTGAACTGGCTGAAAGACTAGTTTAACACTCAGCTGCCACCAATACAGACTTTAGGATCAGTAAGAAGCATGTGACCGGTTACACACACTAAACGACAGGTAGTATTTCATTTTGATTTCCGGAGCTGGAGAAACAGATGAAAAAAGCCAAATTTAGAGTTTTGTTCCTTACTATTTCTTGGAGCCTGTCTGCTGCTCAGACCTAAGAAATAGTCTGACATGCAGCATCCTGTAAAACGAGGAATTACTGTTTTTACACTTTTTGAAAGGATTAAACCTACAAGGTCTAAGAAATAATGATCAGGGAGATTTAGAGGTGCAGGGAGGTGGATTATGGTTCCTTTGGACAGAGCCAGGCTAGCTGACTTCCTGCATATGTGTTTACAATTTTTTCAGTATTATTTATTTTTTCAGGGCAGATTGGATTTAAGTAACTATCAAAAAATTTCCTGACTATTTTTCGATTAACTGACAGATTGTTTCGTATCTGATGAACTTATTTCTGAGACTTAAAGGTTTTCATGGCGTACTAGGTGTTAATCAAACCCCTTTATACTTCGCACACTGGTTACGGACTACCTTCATGTGATGTTTTTTTTATAAGAAAAGTGTCAGGACATAAAAACTGATCAGAAGAACATGAGGAGGAACTGAACACACGGGGACTGTTGATGTTGGTTAATAAAGGATTGACTGCTTCCTGCACTGACACTAAACGCTGTTATTGGACGTAAATCATGAGTCGGGGAATCGGAGAACATGCACGTAAATCTTTTAGAGGGAAGAAAGAAATTCTGGTGTAAATGTGGATGTTTGGAAGCACAAGTGGGATTGGTCACATTGGTTAAAAACCGGCTGCAGTCTGCCGAGCGTCCTGCAAAATGTACAACCTGCAAACTGAGTCTGCTTGCTGCTGTTTCTGCTGATATGTGTTGCTTTGCATCTCGGATCGGCCAGAGCTCTTTCCCTGCTGTCAGACAGCAGAGCGACCCTATTGTGTCACTGCGTGTTTGTCTCGATGTGGCAGGCTGACGTGGAAAAGCACAGGGGACAGCAGAGTGCCAAGTCAGCTTACCTCCTGCTGGTGAACCGCAGGGAGCTGCCCGTCAGCCGCACAGAGTTTATACCAAGGACAGATCCAAACACAGACATGGTTCATTTCAACAGGCAAGTCCAAGCTTGAGGTAATAAGACCTGCCTCTCCTCTGGACTCTAAAACATCAGCTGTTGTCTGGGTTGTTTCTGTCTACATGACCTTTATCAGGTATATTAACATCACAAAAGATAATAAACAGCGATTTTAGGGAATTGTCCCTTCTTAAATGCATTGCGACACGGACGATTCTGAATTGATGAGCATGGAAGCATGTTTGCTTTTATGAAGTAGAAGGGAATAATTACCTGGATAAGACACACATTATATGCAAGTTGTGTCAAACTGGCAAAGTACCAAAAGTACCAAAACTTCTCCTGTCAAACGAGTATTGTATCCTTTTTGTAATCATAAAAATAATTATTATTTGTATGATACATGCAAGCAACATGCCAAAAGGAAAAGACCCTCTTTTTTTCCTTGCTTGTGCCGCACGATGCTTGTAAGCCTCAGCATTGGCTGTGGTCTCAGGGACGATCGACATTGTTACAAGATTTATCACCATCCCTTTGTTTCATCATCTTTAACACCACTCTTTACATTTTTATTTGCAATTCGCATCACTTGTCACCGATCAATCTCTGCGTTGCATCACATCAATTCCTCAGCTGATTTTCTTCACGGAGCCTCCGGCTGCTCATATCAGATGTAGTCGGTATGGACAGTTATGTGCAGCTTTCTTCTTTAGAGTCTTTGGTGTAGTTTAGCTTCTTGTTCAAGCAGACTCCTCTCTCGTCTTCTACTTGGAGGAAGTTTGCGACTCACCACTAAAAGAAAAAGCACTCGCGATCTTTCAATTCAATTCTTCAAGATTTATAGACCCAAAGTTAACAGAATTATTCTCTCAACAACTGTATCAAAATGTTAACTTCTTACTTGACATTTCCACCCCTACGCAGAAGTTTGTGCCTGGTTGAGTTGGAAAAGTTGGTGTGCCAAATCACATAATGGGATTTAATGAATGAATGCCAATAAAAATTAATGGACACAGGTTTTTCAAATAAATAATGATGTTGCTTCCACTGTCTCGCCAAAAACTAACAAAAATAGAAATAGAATAAAAGGACCATCGACGTCCGGGTTGGTCTTCACTGGTCTAAAATCCATCGATACCTCAATAATCCAACACCACATACTGTGTGTGGGCAGAGGAGACAAATACATTCATTGTCAAGTAACAGTATCTGAGTTTGGAAGCTGCAGTGTAATTCCACTATGGACCAGAGCCAGCAGGACTCACCGAGTACGACTAGAACTTAAGCACCTTAATGTTCTTACTGTAATTGGACTAATTTAAGATGAATCAAAATCACGCATGATCATGATCCCTAGACACCGAGATGTGTCCTCAGTTAAACTCAGCAGCAACCAACAGGATGTGATCGGACATGTTGAACCAAAATGGACAGATTTTACACCCCAAAATGTTGTTTAATCATTTAACTTAAGAAAATAAAAAGATTAAAAGAAAAAAAGTAATGTAAGGAAAAAGGTGATGTTTATTTTTTTTTATTCCTACCTGGATTCATCATCTCTGGCGATCAGCAGGGACATGTGATTAGAGAGTGAGGCTGTCCTCAAGATCTCCACCGCCCTATTAGGAAACGGGACAGAGAGGTAACGTCATCAGCTGGTGTGTAACCTTTCATAATAATAATAATAATAATAATAATCTTTATTTGTAGAGCACTTTTCAAAAAACAAGTTACAAAGTGCTTTAAGAAGTGTAAAGACAATAATACTTTTTCGTACATACATACAGATTAAAGCTCAATCACAATTACTGTAGAAACATAAATGCACGAAGGGCACGAGGGCTCACTGTTGGTTTGATGAGTGACGTACTGACCACTCGGAGGGCTTGGTGAACTACCAAAGCTAACACGCTAGCAAGCTGGGAACATGCTGTGTTAGTCAGTCAAAATATCTCTTTCTATTCTGTCTACGCTGAGCCGTTTACTCCCCCTGACATTTTGTTCTTAGGATTGTTCTTCATTTCATTTAATAAAGAGTTACAAAAGAGGGACAAGCTGTCAGTTCTCACAGTTAAAAAGCTATATTAGTACGATGTCTTCAAGTCTGTAAACCAGGTCTCTGTTAAGGAGCAGTTTATACTATGACAGGAGGAGCTTCAGTAAACCTGCCAGGTTTAATAAGCTATGGTCACTTCTTCGATTTTGGACTCTGCAGCTCTCTGTTCACTTAAAGTTTGCTATTGGTCAAAAAACGTGTCAAAGTTGAGCCAGACACAAATGATTTACAAAGACGTATTTGTCCTGATAAAAGCTGATTAACTGATTGTGGCAATTCCATCGAAATGAATTGATTTCCCTTTTAAAATGCTGGTGCGACCGAGCCATGCAACACAACTGGTCACCAGACTCATGATAAATTACGCACCCGGACCAATACTAGCACAACGCTGACTTGAGTGGTCCTGATTCTTATCACATCTCAAACCACGTCTGTCCCCATAACAGAGCTGAATCTGGAGACCATATGTGCAGCTTTAGGTCCTTTGGTGTCAATACCCAGGCCATACCTGTCAACCCTCCTGTTCTATCCCGGGATTCTCCCGTTTTAACCTTTCGACAAATAAAAACCTGTGTGAAACTGTGTGAAATTGAAATGTGTGCTTTTCCCCCTCCAGTAAAGCAGGTGGCAGTATGTATAAACATTAACTGTAGCAGTGAGGGAAGTCAGCAGCAATAAAACAACAACAACAACAACAACAACAACAACAGCACAAGGGATTAAGGGTGAATGATGCAGTGTGTGAACTGGAAAAATGATTTACGATGTGCGAGTAAAGACAGTAATTCTGCATTCTGCATGAATGGTTATTATGATTATTGACAAGTTAGTGCTTAACATTAGTAAATTAGAGACCAATACTGTGCTTCTTGCACAAGGATATAATGAATAAAAACAACTCGCAAAAATGAAGCTGTAACTGGAATAAATATTAGGCTTAGTGGTAAACTACATATGAAAATATAATAAATATGGTAACTAAATGTATACCGTAATGTAAGCATTACTAAATCATATTAAATGGCTAATCCTTGAAGTTAGCATCTCAGAACATGTGTTAATTATAGCTAAACACTGCGTATTGCTTACGATGATGGGATGGAATTAGTTGTGCAGGTATTTGGTCTGAAGCCAAAATGTTGGACACATTAACATGTTGATCTGATGGTGGCGCTAGATGAAAAGTCAGAGGATCACCACTTAGAACCACAAATGCCACGCAGAGAAAATACTTATCAAGTAAGTGAAAACTTTGACTGTCTAGTGTTTCTAAAAGAAAAGTTAAAATTCATCCTCTCTGGATCATGAATGTCTGAACCAAATTTCATGGCATCAATCAATTATCTCATAGTTGTTGAGATATTTGAGTCTGACCCTGCGATCCCTAGAGCCCTGCTGCTGGCATGGCTAAGCATTTTAATTACCCCTTACCTTAAAATACCTGTGCAAACACACACACAAACACACTCATTAATGTAGTGCAGACAGCACACGTCAAACTCACCTCTCATTGGTCACCCCTATCAGACTGATGTTATTGACATCCAAAATCAGGTCACCTGACTTAAGCCGACCTGGAACACAGAGTGACAATCAGACAGAGGCTGGTGAGCGAGGATAATAATAATAATAATAATAATAATAATAATAATAATAATAATAATAATAATAATAATAATAATAACTGCCTGTATTTTTCTTGTAAAAGAAAAATACAAAAAAGCTACCTACCGTCCATAGCCGCCAACCCACCGCCTATCACCCTCTTGATGTAGATACCAAACTCTTCTCCCGTCAGCTCTCGGTAACCCCCGATTATCTTCACACCTGTACACGCATACAGACGAGCTCAGGTCAGTCAGGAAACTTCTGTTGAAGCTGGACAAACTGCCTGAACTCAAATGCAAAACAAATGATCTGTGGATGCTTTTGACACAGCTGTCCGGTGCTCACTGAGCTGCAGTTTAGAGACATGTGAGATTATATTAACAATGATTCAGAGGTCAGAGAAGTCAGGGGGAAGATGCTCACCGAGTCCCTTCTTGCAGTCGCAGAACTCCAGCCTCTGTACGGCTCGGCTGATGCCATGCGGGCCCATGATCGTCCTGACAACAAGCAAAAACACCACAGATTCAAAAACATACCATCATCCTGCCTCATCCAAAGCCCCACTCTCTCTCTCTCTCTCTCTCTCTCTCGCTCTCCTCTGTGCTTCGCTGCACAAAATAATCAAATCATCACTGGATTTTGTCATTTCTCCCACATACCCCCCCCCACCCAGCCACATCCTGACCAATAAAATCTGTCGTCTCTTCAACGGCACGGCGGTTGAACTGTGCGGTGACCTGGATGTCAGCAAGCCCCGATACAAACAGTACAGACAATCAAAGCAACAATAAACAGCAGTCATTATATCCTCGACACAGAGACTCCTCAGACGTGGTTAACATGGTCCTGCTGTCTGCTGGTCTGGTGCCGAGGCTCAGCTCACCGTCAGAGCAGAATGTGTTTCAGATGCTTACGTCTGTGTCTGTGTCAAAGTGTGTGTGTAGAGACAGCATCTTCTGTCGTGGACTTCACAGGGCCGGCCCGAGAGTTTCTGGGGGCCTTGAGGAGAACTTGATTTCCCTCCATAGCTATGCTTTGTCACATCTTTAGGCATCTGGTACCAATGCACATGGCAGCCTTTTGCATCATTGTTCACACAGCACTGAGGGAAGCCCTTTAGTGCTATTGTTCAGCCCTAAAAGTACTACTACAAATAACAGAAAAGTCAGATTAAGGAGGTGGACAGGTGGGACAAAAAACGGACTTTCACCAGGAGATTGGTGTTCATTTCCCGTGTGAAACAAAAAGTCAACATTGGTTTCTTTGAGTGCTGTTATATAACTTATGTAAGTAACATTATTTAACTTCCGTAATTAAAGCCACGTAAGTAACAGTTATTTTAACCCAAACCATGATCTTTTCCTAAACCTTAGCCAGTAGTTCTGGTGCCTAAACCTAACCAAACTGCTACATTCTGAAACATTAACCAGTAATTTTATTTTGAAACTTATTCTGCAGTTCTTGCTAAAGTGACTGCGGAGCTCTACACGTACAAAAACAATACTAAAGGGCAAAAAGCGTTGCCAAGGCGTTTTGACAAAGCATCTATATGTGATGCCCTGGGATTATAGAAAGGGTTGTTGTTGTCTAACACAACTTTATAATGGGGGTGATGGCGCATAGATGAGATGCTTGCCTTTGGTGTGAGAGACCCGGGTTCCACCATTGTGTCCCTGAACAAGACACTTAACCCCTCGTTGCTCCAGAGGCGTGCAACCTCTGACATGTATAGCAATTGTAAGTCGCTTTGGATAAAAAGCGTCAGCTAAAATGAATAAATGTAATGTATAACGCCACGAGACGGTGAAAGTCAACTTTATTGTCAATTCTGCCATATGCACAGGACATAGACAGGTTTAAGATGCCATTTTTTACAGTCCTCCAGTGTAAAACAGTTTAAGTACAAGAGTATAAATAATGTAAAACTAAATGAGTACTAAAATAAAGGTACCCTTGAAATATTTGCACACGTGTGCATTAATGTCATTAACAACGTGCTGCAACGTCATTAAACAGCAGATTGTTTGTAGCTCAGATGATGCAAAGTATGTCCTTCATAACCAAACACCAAGTATATAATTAAGGATAAAATTATGAGTCATTAGCAAACTTTTAACTGTTTAAAACATTGGTTACTTTAAAACTAACCTTCATCTGGGTGATAGATTAGAATAGAATTAGAGTTTTATCATCCAGCCAAGGCTGGAAAATCCTCTTTGGTCTCATCAGACCTATAAAAACAGCACTAGTCTATATCAACATATATAGATATATAAAACATATACAAACATCCTATTAAATCAATGCTCCACATCTCCGCACATCACAGCACTCCAGTTAATACCACATACAGTGTAAAATGCACTTTCTATCCAGAGAGGTATAGGTGTAAAAGATGGCTTGTAGCTCTTTTTATTTGCCACAGGCACTCTGTTTGGTCGCCCTGAAGGTAGCAGCTCAATCTCAGTATGGAGGAGGTGTCTGCTGTCACCAACGATGGACAGAGCTTTCCTATGTAGAGCTGTACTATAAAAGTCATCCAGGGACTTTTGTTGCTGGCCTGTTATCTTTCCTGCTGCTTTGACAATCGTGGCCAGCTTGTTTTTGTTTCTAGGTGTTAGATTTCTAAACCAGACAGAGATATTAAATACGAGAACAATCAGGCGGACAGTGTTCTGGTGAAGGGATCGATCATACAGGCCAAAGTGATTTCATGGTACCTTGGGGAAGTATTTTTAGTATTTTTTAATACAAAAATACAGTAGTTTATTTGGATACACTTAAATTAGACTATTTGGTATCTTATTTTAAAATACACTTTGATGTATGTTTTCCCATCCCTGGTGACAGTCACAGGTAGAGTAAGAAATAGTTTAATAGCCGTGGCTACATCAAGCACACATGATAACGTGGACTGGCGCTTTATAAATATCCCGGCGGGGGGCCTGTTTGGACTGTGGGGCCCGCCCCACCTTGCTGGGTTTGCGGTGGTATACCTTACGGGCCAGACTGTACCAGCTCAGTATAACTAGGAGAGCCAAAAGCACGACTCTGACCCTGCAGGCAAAGGTAAAAGTTCAGTTTTACTCATGGCCTGAAACAGTCAGAGGTCAAAACCAAGCAGGCTACTAAGACGAGGCCAACTTATCCAGTTAGGGGTTCAAAGAGGCAGGGATCAGGCAGAGATTACGGCTAAGTAGCAAGCACATTAGATGATCTGGCGGAGAATGAATGGGCCGGTGTATACACTGCCAGGCTAATGGGGAACAGGTGTACAGGTGATGTGGAATGGCGGGAACGAAGGGGTTATGTGCTATGCTTTTGGTATTGTTGACTTGAAACTTGCATTTTAAGCTCTAGCCAACTCTTCTCACTCCTGTCCGATTGAGTCACTCCCTCCTGGCCTGCTTGGTGTCCACCTGGCCTGCCTGTTCAACTTTGCCTGCTGATCTCCTGCCTGCCCATCAAACTTTTGCCCTCAGCCTGACCCCCTTGTGGAAAAGTCTGCATGTTTTCTTTTTCTCTCTCTTTTCTCTGCTGAGCCAGTGCAGATTTAATGTCTTTGGGGGATTATTTCCACAACAGAATCCTGCTCAGATTATTTGAGCGCGCCCTCAAAGTATATAACCAATTGCTATAAATCCTTAATTTAAAGTGAGCATATCTAACCGAAGCATATTGTAGCTTTGTGCTGAATCTGTATTCTAAATCTGCAAAGCAACGCATTTCTCCAGCCATCAGATAAATGTTGTAAAAGACTAATGTAACAAGTACAGTATCAGAATCTCTGATGTGGAGGAGACGAGCTCAGTCCCTTCACATCTGTCACTAAAATCCGGAAAACATGGAGCTGAGCTTGGGACGGTTGCCCTGATGTCATCTTGGTCATTTTCTTCTTTTGTTTAATTTCCAGCACTCTGTGAGGCTGCGCTGCTCTCAGGACCAGGTCACGTACAGTGTGTTAGTAAGGGATTGTACAGTGAAGTGGATGAATAAGATGCCAAGGTGAAGCGGAGGTCGCTCTGATCTCTCTGAAGAGGCTTATTTTGATCTTAACACAAAGGCTGCAACCACATATATCACATGA